AATGGTGTGGTTTGGTGTTTGAGTTTCAGATTCTTTCCAATGAACACAAACCAAGAAAGAATAAAGTTCTGGTTACCAATTATCACTGATACCATATATTGGTCTCTATGGGCATCACTACTAGGGACAATCACAGTCCTTTTAGGCTCTCGACTCAGTTGAAATGAGAAGCCAGCATCCTGGTATAGGAGGTTGAACTACAATAGGCCAAACTCATCTGGATAATCTGATTCTATACTCTGACAAGGTCTAACCAGAGATGTCTCTATAGCGATACACTGAAAATGGGGTGAGATGGGCCAAACTCCCAGTGTAGGTTCATCATTGTTTCAACTCTTTTAAGACAATGAAGAAAGTGTGTACTGATGAAATATTCTAGTACCATTAAAGGAAGAAATCCTACATTTAGGAGATATGGTGGTTTTAAGAAAATGACCACCAAAGGGAGCGGCACTATTAGGAGGTGTGGCTTTGTTGGAGGAAATGTGTCACTGTGGAGGCAGACTTTGAGGTCCCACATATGCTCAAGCCACTCCTGGTGTCTCAGTTCACTTCCTGTTGTCTGTGGATCAAGATGTAGAATTCTCCAGCACCATGTCTGCCTACACGCCACCATGCTCCCTGCCATGATCACAATGGACTAAACCTCTGAAATGATAAGCTGCCACCTCAATGAAATGTTTTCCTTACAAGAGTTGCCATGGGCATGGTGTCTATTCACAGCAATAGTAGCCCTAACTAAGACAAAATTTGGTACCAGGGACTGGGATTGCTGTGATTGGCCTAACCATGTCTTTGTCTGGAGGAACTGAACTTTGGTATTTTAGGTTAGGAAAGCAGTGAAATGCTTTAAGCACTCCTTAACGTACCATACTAGTAGGAGCATGAAAGACAGTGGTGCTAAGAGTTATTTGGTCTGTGGGGGGGCTGGCTCAAATGGTTTCAGAGGAGAAGAATTTTAGTATGTTGCCTAGACATCCTTCTTGGGATATTTTGGTGAAGATTGTGGCTGCTTTTGCCCTTGTCTGAGGAGTCTGCCTGAGACTAATGTGAAAAGTTTTTTTTATTAGACTCTGTCCTGTAGTTATTAGTGGTAACTCTAATGAAGATTTACAATGAAAAGGATCAAGCTGAGCAGGGTAAATTACAAAATGTAAAATGTGAGGAGGAAAGAAGCACCAGGAAGTGGAATGGAGCTAAGTCCTGTGTTTAAGGAGATAAGCAGATTAAGAAATGGAATAAAAGGAGTGGTGACCTCAGGGCAAGATCCCACCCAGCTAAGTTTCCAACTTGTGAAAAGGAATTAAAGAAAAGCTTAGAGCTGGGTGTGGTGGTGCATGCCTTTAATCCCAGCACTTGGGAGGCAAAGTCTAGTGGATCTCTGAGTTTGAGGCCAGCCTGGTCTATAGATCATGATTCAGGACAGCCAAACTTGGGCAGCAAAGGAAACCATGGAAAACACAAAGCTGAAGATATAATTGAGAGAGGGGACCATACTCCAGCCCCAGTAAGTATCAAAGACTATTGGCGCCCAGCTCCTCTATAGTCTTTTCCCACAGTTCCAGAAGAGACGTTACCAGCGGTGAATTAATTAATCTGAGGGATTTTGAATGAATCCATGTACATGAAACTCTTTAGTCCATTCACTTTATTTTTCTGAGTCAGTTCTCTCTCTACACAGCTTCTGTTCTTCTCTCATAGTTAGCTCCTTTCTTCCCTGATTCTCTCTACATTTTTTAGCTGCTCTCTCTAAGTTCTATCTTAATTCTCCCATCTAGTTCTTCCCATCTAGTTCTTTTCCATCTAGTTCTTCCTATCTTAATTCTTCCCCATCTTAACTCTCCCTCAAATCTCTGTTGTTTACAGTTATACACCCATGCAGTCAGCAATACTGTGGCCAAGGCAAGGTCACCAGACTTGAATTCTTTCAGGGTCAAAAGGAGGGGTGATAAGATCCACACAAAGAGCAGTAATTGTCAGCTGTCATTAGCAACCCAAAAGGGAAGTGACTAATGGGGAATGAATCAACTAAGGGCTAAATTCAGTTAATAAATCGAAAAGGGGAATTTATGTGTTCAAACTATATTCTTAGAAGTGGTTAGGTACAATCTTAGGATTCTATAAGTCACTAAGTCACAAGTAAGAATAAACCTGCCTTATTTTCATTTTGTGCCAAAATCTGTCCAAGCTGCGCAGTTTTCTGGCAGGGCAGGGGAAGTGTAGTTAGGTAACTAGGCAACCTAAGTCACAGCTTAATGTACCTGGTATGTAAAAGCCTTAGTTCTGAGTTAATTGTTAAAGGAAGATCTAGAACTTGGAAGAAGGAGGGTTAAGCTTAATGAGTACATTTGCCTGGCCTGGGCGGTTGTCTCATTGTAAATTTTTATCTTCTCTCAGAACTAACAGATAGTCTGGATGCTTATCTATCTGCAGTCTGTCCTTAGAAAGTCTGGGAAGTATCTCTGATAAAATACTTTTGTCCAGTGATGGTCTTGGTCAGATATTGCTAATGATGATAATTACAGAAAGGCCTGAAATTAGGGGTCTTGACTGTGTGATTGCTGTCAGCACAGTTGGGGGATGTTATCCCAATACTCCAGTTGTATAAGGGAAGTGTGCCCAATGAATGATCAACCACACTGTTGGAAGTTCTTGGGAAAGGAATCAAATGGGAAAGCCACAATAGCACACAAGAAATTCATTGCAGGAAACAGCTAATATATTCAAAAGCCAATATCACGAAGACTCCTTGAGGCTTGGTTTTATCCTTTGGAAGAGCCCTGCTCTTCCAGGTATTAGCTTTGCCATAGTCAGCTGAATTCCTGCTTCACATTTGTGTGGATCACAGCAAGTAAGCAGCAGACCTTGGTAGCTTTGGTCACATGGTTCTGGCTTTAGAGTCAAGGACAAGAGAAAGATGCTATGAAATTTTCCTCTGTGACTAAGGAAAGCTGCTGAGGCCAGTCATGTGTCAGTGGTGTCCCTGAATGGAGGCCTAGTACAGAGGTGTTGTGTAATATTATCTTTTTTTTTTTGTTTTTTTGGTTTTTT